CCCACATACTTGTACAAAGACGATTCATTTCGAGCTGAACTGAAAATGTGGTGGCTAGAATATTTAAGCCATAACTCTATACACCTCGATAACCCCATTCTATTTTGGGAAACAGCCAAAGCCGTATTGCGCGGTAGGATCCTGGCGTATGTTTCTTCCCGCAAAAAAAAACACGCCAACAATATACCACCTCTTGCTCCGAAGCTAGGGATGCTTATGTGGCTTATAAGCGCTCCCTATCTGATTCAGATAGGACCAGATGGATACAGGCTAAGCAGAGCTGTGATCACTGGCTTCTCCAATACGACCAACTAATTCGCTCTTATAAGACAGTAGAGCTATTCAGATTTGGAATCAAATCAGGTAAGCTTATGGCCAATTTGGTGAAGGGCACGCTACCCACCTCCCACATACTCAAACTAGCAGATAACGCAGGCAAAATACACACTGACCCAGAAACCATCTCCGACATATTCTGCCAATACTATAAGACACTTTACAGTAACGATCACTGCGCCACAGGAGATGGATCTTCATTCCTAGACTCCCTCAAACTGCCCTCTTTGTCTGCTGAGCTTGAGTTAGAAGAGGTTATACGCACAACCCCATGTTCCAGAGCACCAGGCCCGGATGGGCTTTCGTCTGAATTTTACAAGATCCTATTGGAGGATGTGTCTTCACCTCTGCTTGGCCTGTTCCAACACATCTTACGTGACCGTAACTACCCACCAACCTTTAATGAGGCCTTCATCCGCCTCCTGCCCAAAAAAGGCAAAGACCCACTACTGCCAGGATCCTACCGCCCTATCTCATTGTTAAATGTGGACGCTAAATTCTTGTCAAAAATTATGGCTAGGCGCCTCTCCTTTATATTGCCTAATATGATTTCTACTAACCAGGCGGGTTTTATTGCAGGTAGATCAGCAGGTATGAATATTCGAAAGGTGTTATATGCTGTAGATGGTTATCGCTTGTCAGACGCCTCCTCACGCCCAATGGCACTGTTAGCTTTGGATGCCGAGAAGGCGTTTGACAGCATTAGCTGGGAATGGCTTAGAAAAGTATTGATTAAGATGGGGTTTACTGATACCTTCCTTCACTATATCACCACCCTCTACTCCTCTCCTGAGGTGCGGATCTTCACCTCCACATCAATTTCACCCTCATTTAGGCTGCACAGGGGCACAAGACAAGGTTGTCCGCTTTCCCCCATATTATTCAATATTGCTGAGGAACCCTTGTCTCTATCCCTTGAATACAATCAGTTATTCTCCGGATATCGGAGAGCAAAGACAGACCTTAAATCCATGCTTTTCACAGACGACATCATGCTCATACTATCAGACCCAGAGCTACAGATCCCCACAATACTACAACACATATCCCTCTTTGGTACCTTTTCTGGCCTAAAAATAAACCTAGACAAGAGTGAAATATTGCCCCTCACTAACAATTGCCCTCCGTCACTATTATCTGTCATCTCCTCTCACAAACTCCAGCTCAGGAAACATGCGATCTCCTACCTAGGCATACAAATCCCCCGCAACACTTCAGAACTATATAACCTGAATTTTAAACCAGTCATTAATACCATAATACAGGAACTCTCCTCCTGGTAACACCTTCCCCTGTCCATGACAGGGAGATGCCAGCTGCTACGCATGGTCAGTTTTGCCCGTCTCTTATACCCCCTACAAACCCTTCCTATCCTGCTCCGACACTCAGATATAAAACTCTTGAATTCGACCTTTTCAAGATTCATATGGGGCGGTAAAAAGTCACGAATTGCTCTAGCCAAAATGCAACGCCCAAAATCCCACCTAGGCATGAATGTCCCAGATATTCGGCTCTATAACTTAGCCAGTATATTCCGACACGTAAGGGACTGGATACTGGATACTTCGTTTTACTCTAATACACCACTGGAACGACAACTGACTCACCCGTGGTCTCTCGCAGGCATCCTTAACTCGCCCCTGCACACCATACCCCTGCATGTTAGATCACATGTGCTTATTAAAGACACTGTCATAACGTGGAGGGAAGTCAGGATACTGGCAAGGCTGCCGGGCACCATCTCCCCATGGCTGCCTCTATTGACATCGCCGGTCTTTCCGGCAGGGGCTGAATCCCTAAACTTCCGCACCTGGAATGCCCGGGGTATACATACCATTCACGACTCACTGTCGCCCAAAACTCCTGCTTAACATTCAACGAAATAATTTCCAAGTTCCGCGTACCCCCCACACATTTCCTCCAATACGCACAACTCTCACGCTTCATACATACCAACAGACTACAGGTGAAAGACACTTCCTCTCAAACCTTTGCAAGATTGCTGACTCCCACACCGTCCAAATTATCCCTATCCAATTTATATTTGGCTCTTCGCGACATTCACCAACAACCTGACAATCACATCCCTGCATTTGTACACCTCTGGGCCCAATTACTGGACATCTCACCGGAAGATGCGTTTTGATAGCATATTACGGAGGAGGCAACACATTAGAAATCACATCATCAGTGAAACGTGGAGGGAGGTCCAATTTAAACTACTCCACCGGGCATACTATGCCTTCAATTATGCTCCGGTCTCTGCATCACCGGATTGGTTACAACATTGCCCCAAATGCAACATACATCACCCCGACTTCCTGCACCTGATATGGTCTTGCCCTCTGATCCAATCCTTCTGGTCTCGGGCGATACGATACATGAACTCCCTGTCAGGTGAAACAAGGGCCCCACGACCTGTACTGTCTCTACTACACGACATACCCCAGGGGGCATCTTCCCCTGGCCCTTCCATCTCGCGATGGGAGCACCTTTGCATATTAGCATCTAAAAAAAACATTCTCACTAAATGGCTCCTGCCAACAACCCCCATGATAGAGGACCTGCAGAACACCCTACGTAAGCTTATGCTCCTGGACAAGGCCGACACACACCTTGGGAGCCCTAGATGTGCTCTAGACACGCCCTGGAGGGCCTCTGGGTCCCCGTTTGTGCGATAATTACTCTTGATGCCCTACCAATCACTTGTTCGATTTCGGTGTTATTTACGTACATGACTGTATGACACCCCTTGATATTCATGTAGTCCCACGAGAAAATAAAATTGCTACACTCCAATGTATATCATAAATCTGTAGATATAGGTACTGGCAATACTGCTTCTCATGTTACTACTTTTTTTCTTTTTTTTTCTCTCTCTTGTGTACTCCGGGTGGTGATCTTAATTTAATTTCGCAATGTTTTCTTATGTTGTATTCTGTTCTGAGAGGTAGCCTTGAACCACATGCTCCAAACTGTCATTATACACACGACAGTGAGATGCAAAATACTTTAACCATACCGACTCAAGTTTTCTTCAATGTTCTGCATCTAATCGCAAAACTGCATGAATACCCCTCGTTGTGTATGTACATTCATTACTGAGATATGGTAACCTCTTAAGTTATTGTTATGTGTGCTTTGAAAATTTAATAAACACTACATGCTCAAGAAAAAACAAAACAATATTCCGCTACAGTCATGTTTCTACAGAATGTTTATATTTTGTTATTCATTTGGTCATTTAACGGTGTAATCAGTTGAGACTTAACAAAGTATCTCTAAGCAATATTTTACTTTGAGCCCCCTACACCATTACATTTTAATAGAGAAGCCCCTGTCGCTTCTCTAAGAAAATCCAATTTGTACCCCGTAATGGAAGAAGATAAACACATACCCCTCCAGCAGGTCCATTTCCAGGTGTGTTGGATAACATGTGCCCTGCTGGGTGCCATGGCTCCTTCCACTGGTCACTAATTTCTGTAGTGATGTTGTGGCTTAGGTGGAGGAACCAAGGAAACCCAGCAGGGTAACACTATATTCAACACACCTGCAAGTGTTGGAGAGTAGCAGTGCTGCTAGCTCTGTAAAACAGCAAAGGATAGACTCTGCCTCCTGTTGGAATCGAAATTATTCATCCTCTTCTATTACATGGTACAGCTCAGGGCTGTCCCTATAATAAGGCAGCCTCAGAGTGTTGACTCAGGTGGGATCACTTTAAGTCACGTGGGGGCATTGGCAGGCAGAGTCTGCCGCCCCTTTTCAGCTAGAGCAGTTTAGATTAGATGTCATCAGCACACCGGCACGACGGAGACTCATAAGTCAGTGGAAATCTATTTAATTATAAATTTCAAGCGCTTTCGGGGGGCCACACAGGGTCCCCTTCATCAGGCTCAGAGTAGACGTCATCAGGCTCAAAGTGACACGTCTACTCTGAGCCTGATGAAGGGGACCATGTGTGGGTCCCATTCAGTACAGAGCTAGCTGGTATGCTGATGACATCTAATCCAAACTTTTCTGTGTGCGACGACATCCGCTGTCATTTTAAGCACCCATTACATTATTGGGATTTCCAGTAAGGAGTGCTACAAGGACTTCATGACATTTTTTTTCAGCCAGAGCCCCCCAGGTTGCTAAGAGATGGGCAGAAAGATGTTCAAGGGCCATACACATCTCGCCTCAAAGCTCTCGGCAACCTGGTGGGCTCTGGCCGGCGTACCGCCCAGATCCTGGCGACCAGTGATGTCACTTGCCAGGAGCAGAGTGGGGATGCTCGGTCTGGTGTCAGTGAGCTGGGCTGGATGCTGGACAGAGCCTCTGGAGTGGTAACGGGCATTCTTCCAGCCACTCACTAACACCACCCTTGCAACACCAACCTCCCCGGAACAGCCATTCCCTGACAGTACAACTACCCCCCCTTCATCCCGGACTGACCATTCACTGACCGCATCCACCCATCTCAAGTGGCAAATAGTGTAGGGACAGTCCTGGTTGAAACTCATAATAGTTTCTACTATCTACTATGTTCATGTCTTATATGACTATTGAACTACTCTGATGTTCTTACAAAACTGTAAATTATTTTCCTTATGCAACTCTGGGTTAACAGCTATATTTCTACTGTAAGTACCTGTGTATTTTTTTTATTTTAGTATGGGGTATACCTTAATTCTGGGTTGAACAGAGTATTCTTCACCAGGTAGATGGTAACATTAATCATTCCCAGGCCTGTGAAACCAAGCAATGGTACCAGCTGTATGAAAAATAGAAAGCATAACATTAATAACGTTAGAATGACAATGATAAATATAACTCATGTATATCACTTTGTAAAGTTATCATTTACCTATCCTTGGTGGGAAAACAAAACAATTTGTTGAGGTTGACCATATCAATTCATCTGGAACCTATGGCTTTATTAAGAGATCAATGAAACCAAGAGCTGCTTGTAACATGGATACATTGGTGCTGAATCTAAGTATACTTATACCTGTGCTGTAAACAAATTATCTGGCATTATTGTATTTTGCTGTAAAAACTAGTGTTATATTACATTAGTTTTCAGTGCTGGTAATTTTTGGCTTGGAGCTCTGAGAGCAAAGAACAAGTGGACATTACAGTGAATACAGATTTCCCTTTTTCGTGAATATTCACTATGCAGTGAAAGACTCTTGTTCTCTGAGACTCTGAGTGTTTTTCTAAGGAGTCTCAACTCTGCCTCCCAGCATAGGTCACACGAAGTTTAAACATATGTTGTTCTAGACAAGATATGTTATTTATACATCAGAAATTGCTTAGTGAGAGCTTTTTATGTAGTCGCAAAGAGATGCAACATTTGAGGGCCACACTGGCTCCCCTTTTTCAGGCAACTGTTGTTTGATAAAGGGGAACCCTGTGTGGTCCTAGAAATGTTTCACACCTTTTATTGTGATTACATTTCTCACTGAGCAAATTCTTATGTACAGGTGCGATTATGGAAATGGTACCATCTGTTTAAGTTGTTCCAGCACCAAGATTACATCGTATGGAGTATGGCCGGTGATTTCTCCAATTATTTTTATTCTGCTGTCCAGATATCCTACCCAAAAGGAGTGTATGTCAATCACCCCTACTCTGCCCTTCACATTCCAGCCACCAGAGCAATGACTCCCTCTGTCAGTCTAATTTGAAATGTTAAGGACAACTTCACTTTAATACATTTTCCATCCTTTTAAAGTACCCCTCTGACTGGCAGTTGCCTTCCTAAACACTTCCCTACGAGTCATAGGAATGAGTTGGCCAAGTGACATACATGTGCATTAGGAGCTGAATGTAGCTGGGACTTTTTTCTGCAAAGGCTATGTGGCACAGGGCCACACCATGAAGAAATAGAGAGTGAGGCTGAAGGTAAGTATGTAGGTACTTGCAACTCATAGAAATTGGGGGGGAACATTTAAAGGTTGTCATTTAAACAGATACAGAAAATTATGGCAATTTAAATTTAAAGAATATTTCAAGGTATTTACACAATGCAGTTCAATGAAAATAAATATACTGTTGCGCTAAACTGAGAGTTAACATTTGCTTACAACATATCAATGCTGTCAGTACAGAAAGTTTGTCCTTAAAGAGAACTATGGGCCAACCTTTCTTGGCCATAGTTCTCGAGGGTCACAGGAGGACATATACTAATGTTCTCCGGTGATCCAAAACTCAGTATGTAGCGGGCTATTGCTGCTATAAGCTGAGAATGCAGAGCCACGCCGCAACCAGGACGGATCATGACAATACTGTTGAGGTCTGACCTGCTGGCTGATTGACAGCGGGCTCTGCCTATCTAGAGGCAGAGCCAGCTGTGCCCGCCCTCTCCCCCGTTTGTTCCTGCAGAGAGCGCTGGACAATCGGAGAGGGAAGAATCCCTGTCAGTCACCACTCTCTGCAGGGAGAGGAACAGGAAGTCAGCGATCGGCGGTAAGTGTTCACTGACTTCCCTGTTAATAGAGCCGACCTGTGACAGCTTCATTATCACAGGATGGCTTGAATTATGGGGAATTATGGTTTTCATTCACCACATAATTCTCCTTTTATATGTAGTGTTCAGTTACTTCTAATTGCACAAAAATGTTTTCTGGATATCATATAAATGCAATTAAGTTTTCATGTGATGTACACTTGGAATTATCCTGGGAATAAGGCTGGCCATGTCTCCTATTGTATGATGTTATTTGATGACATGTTACTTATTTGTGTATCACACAGAATAGATGACCAACAAACAAACTGATGAAACTTTACTAGATGAACATGAAATTTAGATTTGGTGTATATATCTTTTTAAACATTTTTCAAAAGAAAAATCACTTCTGATAGATAGACATGCACTAGAAACAGCACTAAGTGGCTGTAGCATTCTAAAACTAAGGCCTTGTTCTAAGCAATTCCACTTGTCAGTGGGAAGACTAATATTAATTTCCTTCCAACTGTGTAACCCAAAGTAATTGTATTAGTCAGGGCTATGATGTCACAGCTATGAATAATAATCTGGCAGAGCCATAGGTGATAATACAAGCTCTCCTTTCATTCTCGCCATTGTTCTGCTTTATCAATTTTTAGCAACAAAAAAAAAAACTATCTTATAATGCATTTTATATGTGAACTATTAAGCGTATTTATCCACACAAGTATTCATCACAGAAAAAAAATCACAGCATTTTTTGTAATTGTAATTTTTGTTTTAAAGATACATTTGGATCTGATTTTAGGTCACACAGTAAAAAAAAAAAAAAGTGTACCTGTCCCTCTTGCACAGCCGGCTTCTAACAGCTTTTGAGAGCACTTCATGCTTCAGTGATCACAGAGTAGGTCGGCAATCACAGTTCGGACAGAACTGCCACTCTACCATTTAGTTACGGCTAGTATACAGTATATTAGTAATAAAACAGCAGCAATATGGAACAGATAGAGAGAAATGTTCTGACTTATTTTCTGTTAACGTTATCACTCCCACAGTCTGGTGGGCATCCAAAAGTGCTGCAAATATGTAAAAAAAATGGCTTGTGATTTACAAAGGCATATTTACATACCGTCATTATTTCTATTTTAATTTGTTTTCCTGCATGTTGTTTTCTTCTGGCTATACTGTAGATGTTTAAAGGGTCAGTCCATCCACAGCAGACATTTCAGTTTGTGGAAAATGCTCTGGAGTTGAACCACCTGATAGTAACTGGATTTGGTACTTTTTGTAGACTATGTGATACACAAGACTTCTAAAATAAAAAAAAAAATGCTTTAACTTCCTTGAGTGAGTCAAATCCTCCTTCCACATACTGAAGCTCACAGTGGGAGGGTTTCAGCAACAAAGGCAGTGCTGTCAATCCAGAACAGTGGACCAGTGGACAGGTGGTGACTAACAAGATACAGTCACAATATCGATTGCCAAGTCCCCTGCAACATCTTCTCATTCACTATAGGCAAGCATGTGCAGCATACATGAGAGTAGCAACTCTGCTCTAAATTCAGGAGCAGTGCACCATGGTTGCCACCCCATCCCAGGAAGCTCCATCAAATCACCTTCACTGGCAGGATCAACAGGTATTCATGGGACTTTGCAGGGGGACTAAGAGAAAACTGCAAATGCATATATTTTTTAATGGGAGGCCACAGTTGTAATTTAGCTTCTGGGTAGGAGTCCCAAATTTAAAAATACAGCAAATTAAGAGGCAGCAGAGTGATTAATCTTGTAGCATAAATGAGCAATTCACACCCTGCTAGGTTAGTGGTTTTACAATGGGAGAACTGCTATCATGACCAGGGAAACTCAGCAGCCTGCAGTGCCAAATGTCTGCAGGTCACCCTGCTGGGGGAAGTCTGACACTGCAAGACCTAGGACTGCTATTTTCTGTAACCGGTTGTATACAATGTCCTTTTTCGTTTTTTGTTGTTGTTAAATTGTGTACGTGTTGATCACTGGCGTCAAGAGATTTAAAGGGTAATTCCACTTTTCCAGGTGAATTTGGGAAAATCAAATTACCCCCTTGCTCCCCCTGCTATATTACTTACCTTTCAATGAACACTCCTTTCCCTCCGCTTGTGCAGGTATACTATCTGTACTTCGTACTGCCGTCTAGCACAGCCGTACACTCTGGATTTTAAATTTCGCTCGCAAGTGGCGAGCACCGATTAGTCACTGCGATCAGGTTGGAGGGGACCAGATTGAAGGGGGTAATTCCATTTTCCCAAATTTGCCTGTGAAAGTGGAATTACCCTTTAAATTGCATATACTGTATAATCAGTTTCCTTGGTGTCATGGCAAATGAACTTTAAGATGAATACTGCCAGGCAACTGGAGATATTGCCAGGATCTGATGATTAATGTAAAGGTGTAAGTCCAAGCACTACAGCGGATGAGGAATTTTGACTTCTTTTTCATTTCTCTTTATCTATTTCAGGTCTGAGACTCAGAAATCCAAGAATCCTAGCATTTTCAGGAAGGAGGTCAGCAATTAAAACTTACATACAGTATTTCTTAAAATACTTATTTCCTGTAACATTTATCTTTTACTTGTACCAGTACTCTTACAAATGTATTGCATGCAAATAACCTGCATTTAATACATAAATATCATACTACGTAACTGCAATAAACAATTCTGGCATTAGATCAATACTACAAATAAGTATAACCATGCATATATACAGTAAAATAATTTTATTTTGCCCATTATGAGACTTGCTATATATTTTGATATGTATCTTTCCTGATCTTGTTCCAAGATGAATGGCTTGTTAAATGAAAGCCGACACAAAATCGTATTGTAATCTTAGCAGTGCTATACCATCTCCAGCCTCTCCAGCACTCGATGGGTCAATCTCCTGCATCCTTGGCTCTCTAATAAGAGTTTTGTTTCTCTATTTCTCAGAATAATGGCTTTTGTTGCTGTCTCTAGGTCTACTTTGCCTGTGTTTATCCCAGGGGACAGAGAGCTTTGCCCTCAATCGGATACTATACACAAGCACTTGACCTTAAGTAAGCTAGAGTCCCCTGCCAGGTTGTGTCGTGCTGCTGATTGCCTCATTTAAAATGGACCAATTGCACAAGGAATACCACTCGCAAACGCACCCTGGAAATAATGACAATAAATGGGGAGGGTAGAATGTGATTTAGGGCAGGTGGACTACCTAGCTAAGTAATCATCTGGAAGTCTAAACATTTAAGCTTTGCTGCCATTATTTTCCAGCTCTAGTTTGTTCTCTTTTAAAACATGTCTTACATTT